AATTTTCAATGCTTTCATATTTATATCAATTGTTTTCATATAATAATGAATGACACTCTGATAGTGCGTGTACTATCTTTACTTTTCCTACTGCGTTAATTTAATTGCCTTTGTTGTATGTTATTATTCCCGTTCATATTGTGTATAACTTACGATGAAACGTGATGCGAATGTATGCTAAACTCAAAATTTCAGTTCATTGGACTAGAATAAAATTCTAGAAGGACAAGGACCATTGGCTTTTCTTTCCAAAATCATGACTATTCTCGATGAGTTTTCGTTCAGTGGGATAAAATTTCAGGTTGAAATTCAATCATTAGATGCTATCACTAATAAATTGCTCGGATGACGAAAACTTGTTAAAACAAAATCTAACGAGGGAAGATCACCAACTGTTCAATCGCTTTGGAGTCAGAACTATGTGTATCATGTAGATCCTAGTGAGTTATGAATACCTTGAAAAGAGTTCGGACCGCTGGCTTATTATTGTCGAGATACTGCATTTTTACGATATTGTTAAGCAGAATGGCGTGGTTCCCCTCAGAAGCATCAGTAAAACTGAATTTCGAGTTTTGACTTGAAATTTGGCACAGAAACAGGCCTCAATGAGAGTAGTTTATTGTGAAAGTTTCAAATCTTTTGGTTATTCCTATCCTAAGATACGGCTAAAAATGGTGTTTTTACACGGCTTATATACCCTCAACAAGTTCCCATGTTCTTATTTCAGAATAGAAACAACAAAAAGATCTGAAATTTCCTCCATAAACTACTGTCATTCAGGTCTGTTTCTGTGCCAAATTTCAAGTCGAATTTCAACACTCAGTTTTGCTGATGCTTCTGAGGGGAATCACGACATTCTGCTTAACAATATCGTAAAAATGCAGTATCTCGGCAATAATAAGCTAGCGGCCGGAACTCTTTTCAAGGTATTCATAGCTCATTAGGACCTACATGATGCACATAATACCGACTCAAAAGCGATTGAACAGTTGATGACCTTCCCTCGTAAGTTTGAACAGAAGGTTCAAGGATATTTATCGTTCCAAAATTTTACTAGTCTCACTGAGATCTACTCATAGGCAAAAAAAATCAGTTTAATCGGCGTTGATTAATTGGAAAGTTTCTCTCATTAGATCAAAACTTCTATGACAAGATATATAATATTTGAAAATTAAAGACAGTTACTCTTATAAAATTATTCAAACTTCTATAGAACTTTACTTTTGTTGCAAATACGGATTTATAGATAATTCTCAGGTAATGTTAACCCACTGTTTGAGCTCATATCAAGGATCTTTGAGGATAAAATACATTGAAAGTAGCGCTACCTTCAAGTAAATTCGATTTCTATCACAACTGTCGCCAAATTCAATATCTCGACAAGTCGCTCAAACTATCTATAGCCAAAATCTCAGGTTAAAATTTCGTTATTTGATTTTTCAGTAAATACTTAACAATAGATCGAAAATTCAATAAAATGGCTCTAACTCAGCTCCAACAACTTATGAAGACGAACCGCTCGAGGTTTTTTCTACTCTTACCGAGACTTCCATATGACCTTAACCAGTGAGTAACAGTTGGGATAGTTCATTTAACTAGTAAAACTCGACTGTATCTTAAATTCTCATCTTCGAATTAGTTATATAAGAAAATAGTTGAATTATGTTTCATGAAAATTATCAAGAAGTTTTTTCATCATTCTTCAAATAATTTTTGTTTGTTTTGTTGTTAGATTGACATACATTAAATCAGCTGTTACACGAAATGAAAGTGAAAAAACGCTCAATACTATTATTGATCAAATATCAACATCAGAAAAAATGGATATAATAGAAAATTTTTATGAAATAACATTAGATGCATTAAAAGAAGCTAAAAATAATCGTCTTTGGTTTAAAGTATATCTTAAATTAGGTAAATTATATGATGAACAACAAGATTATAATAAATTACAAAAAGTTATTAAAGAATTATATAAAGCTTGTGAAACATCAGAAGGTTAACTTTTTTGTTTTTTTTTTTGTAAATTGTAATATATGAAATTTTTTAGGAAGTGAT